ATAATTGGTCGCATTGGGAGCTGATCGTGAACCGGGGGTCCACTGTACTTGCAACATCTGCCACATTGCTCCCCTAACCACTCTATCATATGCCTTTTCTAAATCCATAAATGCAATAAAAACTTCCCTACCTTTATCTAAATACTGTTCACATATATGCCTCAATGTAAACACTTGATCTACACATCCCCTACCTACTCTGAAACCTACTTGTTCATTCGCGATCCTACATTCTGTCTTACCTCTAATTCTTTCAATTATAACCCTACCATACACTTTTCCTGGTATACTCAGTAAACTTATTCCTCTATAATTTTTACAATCTCTTTTGTCCCCCTTTCCTTTATATAAAGGGACTATACATGCTCTCTGCCAATCCTTAGGTACCTTCCCCTCTTTCGTACATTTATTAAACAAAAATACCAACCTCTCCAACACTATATCCCCCCTGCTTTTAACATTTCTGTCACGATCCCATCAGTTCCAGCTGCTTTACCCCCTTTCATTCTACGTAATGCCTCACGCACCTCCCCCACACTCACATCCTGTTCTTCTTCACTCCTAAAAGATGGTATACCTCCCTGGCCAGTGCATGAAATTACTGCCTCCCTTTCTTCATTGACATTTAAAAGTTCCTCAAAATATTCTCTCCATCTACCCAAAACCTCCATCTCCCCATCTACTAACTCCCCTACTCTGTTTTTAACTGACAAATCAAATCGTTCTTTAGGCTTTCAAAACTTAACTCACTCCAAAATTTTTTCTTATTTTCATTAAAATTTCTTGACAGTGCCTTGCCCACTCTATCATCTGCTCTCCTTTTGCACTTTCTCACCACTCTCTTCACCTTTCTTTTACTCTCGATATACTCTACTCTTCTTATAACATGTCTGCTTTGTAAAAACCTCTCAAAAGCTAACTTTTTCTCTTTTATCACACCCTTTACTTCATCATTCCACCAATCACTCCTGATTCCTCCTGCACCCACTCTCCTATAACCACAAACTTCTGCCCCACATTCTAATACTGCATTTTTAAAACTATTCCAACCCTCTTCAACCCCCCCACTACTCATACTAGCACCAGCCCACCTTTCTGCCAATAGTTGCTTACATCTCACCCGAACTTCCTCCTCCCTTAGTTTATACACTTTCACCTCCCTCTTGCTTGTTGTTGCCATTTTCCTCTTTCCCCACCTACCTCTTACTCTAACTGTAGCTACAACTAAATAATGATCCGATATATCAGTTGCCCCTCTATAAACGTGTACATCCTGGAGCCTACCCATCAACATTTTATCCACCAATACATAATCTAACAAACTACTTTCATTACGTGCTATATCATTCCTCGTATATTTGTTTATCCTCTTCTTCATAAAATATGTATTACTCATTACCAAATCTCTTTCTACACATAGCTCAATTAAAGGCTACCCATTTTCTTTCACCCCTGGCACCCCAAAATTAAAATTACCTACTACTCCCTCTACAACATTTTTGCCCACTTTAGCATTGAAATCCCCAACCACCATTACTCTCACACTTGCTTCAAAACTCCCCACGCATTCACTCAATATTTCCCAAAATCTCTCTACGAGAATACAAAAATAAAAACCATATGAAAATATAACATTAACCCTTTGAGGGTTTTGGACGTACTAGTACGGCTTACGACCCAGGGTTTTTGACGTACTAGTATGCCTAAATTCTAGCGCCCTCAAATCTAGTGGGAGAAAGCTGGTAGGCCTCCATATGAAAGAATGGGTCTATGTGGTAAGTGTGCACAGTATAAAAAAAATCCTGCAGCACACAGTGCATAATGAGAAAAAAAACTTTGACCGTTTTTTCTGGAATAAAACAGCGACTTTGCACTGTATTTTCGTATGGTATTTATTGTTGTATTCTAGTTTTCTTGGTCTCATTTTATAGAATGGAAGGCATATCATAGAAATTGAGATGATTTTGACTGGTTTTACAATGAAAAGTACCTTGAAATTGAGCTCAAAGTAGCAGAAATGTTCGATTTTTACCAAAATTCAAAAGTAAACAAATTATGCCAAGCGTCCAATACACGTCAACTGGTGTCTAATATTCTTTTGCAAGTGCGCCAATATGATTCATACCATTTTTTACACTAATGCAGTAGTCTGTATAACAGTAAATCTTCTATTTTTTGTGAGAATAAAAATTCAAAGTGGAAAGCAAAAGAATGTAAGAGGGGCCTCGAGACGTGACTAATGAACAGAGGAAATGTCATTTTAGTGCCAGGAATGTATTTCTTGTTTGTTCTGGACCCTATTCGGAAATTGGCATCTTTTGAAATTTGTGTGAAATTGGCAAAATTGCTAAATTCTGACCACTGTACTGGATAGTTGAAATTGGTAAATGGGTGGTTTCTTGCACTCATTCAATAGAAAAAATGGAGTTCTAGCAAAATATTCATGTTTTTTGTCAACTAGTACAGTGGAACTGGCCAAAAATGGGGCTCAAAGTGGGCAAAATCGCCGATCCGTAAACATCGCCGAGACCGCTAACTTCGCGAGAGCATAATTCCATAAGTTTTCCATCAAATTTCATATTTTTGGTGTCATTATGATCGGGAAAAGATTCTCTATCTTTTCATGAGAAATTTTTTTTTTTTAACCCTTTCAGGGTCCATCCCGTATATCTACGGCTTTGCGTTCAGTGTCCAAACCGTAGATCTACGTCATGAGCTCAGCTCACTCTGATAAACTGTGAGTGGTACACTTGGGCCTAGATATGAGAGAATACATCTATGTGGTATGTGTGCACCACATAAAACAAATCCTGCAGCACACTGTGTATAATGAGAGAAAAAAAACTGAAACCAAGATTTTTGATTAAAACAGCAATTTTGCAGTGTTTTTTCGTATGTTTTTTATACATATTTGTATTTGCAATTTCTTGGTCTCATTTGATAGAATGGAAGACATATTACAGAATTAGAGATGATTTTGATTGGTTTTAGCACCGGAAATGGCTTGAAACTGAGCTCAAAGTAGCGGAAATGTTAAATTTTTGTCGATGTTCAAGAGTAAACAAACGACCTCACACGTCTAATACACGCCAGCTGGTGGATCTAATACACATTCACAAATGTGGTGATGATATTTATACAATTATTACAATATTGCATAACAGTAAATCTTCTATTTTTTGGTGTGAATAAAAATTCATTATGTAAATAAAAAATAAAAATGGGATTTATTTGTAAAGCCTCAAAACGTAACTAATGAACAGAGGAAATGTTAGTTTAGTGCCAGGAATGCCTACATTGTTTATTCTGGATGCTATTTTGAAATTGGAATATTTTGAACTTTGTGTTAAATTGGCCAAATTACCAATTTCTGATCACTTTATTTTGTAGTTGAAACAGTTGACTTGGCGATTTCTTGTGCTCAATCGATAGAATAGAAGTAATACTAGTAAAATAGCTAAGAATTTGGTCGACTGGAATGATGTAATTGGCCTAAAATGGAAGTCAAAGTCGGCAAAATCGCCAATTCGTAAATATCGCTGACACATCAAAATTCGCGAGAGCATAATTTCATCAATTTTCCATCAAATTTCGTACTTTTTGTTTTATTACCTTCGCAAAAAGATTCTCTACCATTTCATAAGAAAAAATAACAAATTTTTTTTTGGAAAATTCTTGGACACTGGGGCACCACTTCAGATTTGGGCCTTGGACCCTGAAAGGGTTAAATTTGGCCGAACCTGAGAACGAGTCTCGGAGAGGGCCTGTCAACCCTCAAAGGGTTAAGGGAAGGCTAATGGCTGAGAAGTGAACTCCGTTATTTATGGTCGAATTTCTTTCATTTTTGGTGTACGCTAAGAAGCGTCTTTCCATCATACATTGTCCAAGTTTCAATAAGATAGTCCAGCAAACAACTGAGATCCAATTCCCTAGATCAAGAGCAAGAGCCCTTCACCAGCGTCAAGGAACCTCCCTTGAGGCCTGCTTGCATCTGGAAATTTCGCTCGCGTCTGGAAGCAAAAAATCGACCGAGCGACTGCTCGCATCTGGAAAAACTTGCACGTGGATGCACTCAAAAGTAGAGGTTCCACTGTAGTTGAATGGGCCATTTCTTGTGCTCAATAAATAGAATGGAAAGCATACTAGTGAAATAACTAAGAATTTTGTCAAATGGAACAAAGTAATTGGCTTAAAATAGGACTCAAACTGGGCAAAATTACCAATGCATAAAATATACCTAGACCGCTAACTCTGGGCCTTTGTAATTCCGTGAGTTTTCCATCATATTTCATAATTTTGGTATCACTACCTTCAGAAAAAGATTCTCAACCTTTCAGAAGAATTTTTTTTTTAAGGGTGAACACTGAGAGTAATATTAATTTTGTGGGTCTGGACAGGAAAAGAATTAAATTGGACAAAATCACTGTTGCATAAAATGCTCCTTGACCTCCAACTTTGCACCTGTGTAATTCCCTAAATATTACATAAAATTTTGCTTTTTGGTGCCATTACCTTTAAACTGTCCAAACGTAGATCTACGTTTTTTCGCATAGTGCTCCAAACGTAGATCTACGTTTTTTTTTTTTTTACATGCTTTCAAATGGGGAAAATCAAGGTCGGAGCACTACGAGTGTCAACGTAGATCTACATTTGGACAGTTCAAGGATTAAAAAAAAAAATTTCTTAGTATTTTAAAAGAATTTTTTTTTCTAAAATGCCAACACAGAAGGGGCTTTCAATTTGGGGGATGCCAACAGCTTATGTGTTAAATATCCTCTACACCATTTCTCTAAAGCAAAATATTTTTGTTTTTGCTTTAGCTTAATAGCTGTTACCCAACAAGGCATTGATCCAAAGAAAAAATTAGTTTGTTTTGGTCATAAACTAGAGTAATGGGAGTCTTCCATTATGCCACTGATACTGTCAGTTTGGTTAACATGACCTACATATATCATGTAGTACCATTCAAATTTCAATAAGAAAGTCATGTTGGCACTTACAATAGTGTTGAGTCATTAACAGCACAGGCAAAGGTAAGGGGCTTCATAAGTAGATTTAAGAGTGATTCAGCAAGAGGTGTGGGTGGAGCTTCGGTAGACTCGTACACCTCAGGGATACGTGTCACTAACAAGTGAACCATTTGTTGATAATAGCCTGAAATTTAACCATTGGCTACTTAAAATTGTCCTATAAATAATTGCATATTAAAATATAATAAAAATAAGTAAAGAGAATACTATAAAACAAATTTTTATCACAGTTGTGTACAAAATTTGAAAGAAATAACAATTGGTGATAATTAGCCTGTGCTTATCCTCACCATAAACATCAATATAATGTAATGGGATAACAAATGATAAACTGAATCTATCTGAACTTTAGATGAGATAGTTAGATTTTCCTGAAAAGCACAAAGTCAATGTTTGCTGAAAGCACTGTCCTAACCTCATACAAAATATCTCCCAAGCTACTACTTTCAGACCAAAAATATTCTTAAACTAATACATGTTGGGGGAGAAGGTAAAGACAAAATTATAACCTGCAGTTTAGAAAAACTAAGATAAAAATAACACATACTATATCCTTAGTCTATGCCATAAGAAATCTTGTAAGACACTAAATTTTGGAATAATTTTAACCTCTTCCCCATAATTTTTTTTTTTTAATTTTTACATAGCCTCAAAGATATCTTACTTATGGAATATGGAATACTCCTTCCTCCCAATACAATATTGTGCTATATATACAAATAGAGCCCATTCTCCTGTATAAGTTAATACATGTAAAAAGAAAAACTTTTCTTTCTTTTTAGGTCACTACACCACTTCGGTGGGAGATATACATATACAGTGGTATATCGAGTTTTGAACATCTCCCAACTCGACTAATTATGTAAGTGTATTTTTGCAGGTGCTTTTGTAAGTGTATTTTTGGGGGTCTGAAACGGACTAATCTAATTTACATTATTCCCTATGGGAACAAATTCGTTCAGTAACGGCACTCGAACAGCCTTCTGGAAAGAATTAAGTTCGTAACTCGAGGTACCACTGTAGAAGAAACTGGTCTTATAAAATAGCATAAATGTTGATGATCATAAGACACAGAAGCAGCATTAGCAGTATTATTTTTTTAACACACTGCCCATCTTCCATCAAGGAGAAAAAGGAGAAAAACTTTCATTCTTTTGCATTCACTGTCTTCCCAGAAGTGTGCTAACATCATGGCTCAGTAATAATAGTAGGTTGGAAGATAGCAACCATCCAGGAAGGTACTATCCTGTCAAATAAGTGTGAAATACAAATCTGTAATTGTTTCATACAATTGCAGGATTGCTGCATCTTTTCTTTCTGTCTAATAGACACTTAAGATAACACATACATCTTGCTATTACTACTTAGACCTAGTTTATACTACACATGTCACTGTGCATGTACATTTATGTGTACATATATACATACCAATCCAAGTTTTTTTTCGAATTTCTTAATAGTTTTAGTTCTTAGTGTTTCCTTCCATTTTCATGGGGAAGTAAAGAATAATGTTTCCTCTTTAAGTATATACAGTGGACTCCCGCCTCACGAACGCATCGCGTTAAGTTAAATCCACCATATGAAGAATTCGAATGCAAAAATTTTGCCTCGCCTCACGATAAAAAACTCGCCTTACATGATTCGTCCAGGACGCATCCTACGTGTGGCCTCAGCTGCCCCGTGGGTGCCACTGTTCACAAGCCAGCCAGTGCGGTCGCATCTAAGCATACATTCGGTACATTTCATATTATCAGAGTGTTTTTAGTGCTTGTAACTGCAAAATAAGTCACCATGGGCCCCAAGAAAGCTTCTAGTGCCAACCCTCTGGTAAAAAGGGTGAAAATTACTATGGAAATGAAGAAAGAGATACAGTGGTCCCTCGATAATAGTCGGGCTCAAAATTCGTCCTTTTCGGAAATTGTTGCGTTATTTTAGTCCAAACATTGGCTCATAAATGGTCGGTTGACTTGCTAATCATAGTTCGTCCTGGACATGCACTCATGGCTCTGAGCTGCCTTGGCCTCCCTTCCCAGCCAGTGTGCCATTGTTTACCAGTAAGCGACAGTCCCCTCACGTGTTCATACGAAATATTTCGTAATATTCCATTCATTTTAGTGCTTGCAAGTGCTAAATAAGCTACCATGGCTCCAAAGAAAGCTCCTAGTGCCAAGCCTTTGGTAAAGAAGGTGAGAAATACGATTGAATTTAAGAAAACATCACTGAACAACATGAAAGTGGCGTACGTGTGGCCAAACTGGCCAGGATGTATAATAAATCCCGTACAACCATATCTTCCATCGTGGCCAAGAAAAAGGAAATCAAGGAAGCTGTTGTTGCAAAGGGGGTAAATATTTTGACAAAAAAAAGATCACCAGTACTCGAAGAGGTTGAGAAGTTATTATTGGTGTGGATAAACGAGAAGGAGGGAGGAGGAGGAAGAGAGATGGAAAAGGTGCCTTCTTCAGAAATCAAGGAGATTTTTGAAATGAGGGGTAGGATGGAAAGATTTATGGAGAAACACCACCCTGAGAAGGATGTTGCAAGCCATATCAGCAACTTGTACAGTGACAGAGTCTTGGCCCATTTTAGGGAAGCTTTAAAGAGACGCCAGAAACAGAGCTCTCTGGACACTTTTTTTGCGAGACAGGACTCCAATGACTCTCAAGCTGGTCCTAGTGGCATTAAGAAACATAGAAGAGAAGTAACCCCAGAAAAGGACTTAGTACCTAAGGTGTTGATGGAAGGAGATTCCCCTTCCAAACAGTAACTAATCCAATCTCTCTCCTCCTCCAGTCTTCCAAACACTAAGAAGAATCGCCAATAAACATAAGTGTTATGCTGTTAATGTTTCATTCAACATGTCCCATTGCATTGTTTATGTACTACATCTATTTTTCATGTAAAAAAATTTTCGTTTTAATACTTCTGGGTGTCAGGAACGGATTAATTGTATTTACATTACTTCTTATGGGGAAAATTGATTAAAAATCATCTTTTTCGATAATCGTCACACTTCCAGAAACGGATTAACGACGATAAACGAGGGACCACTGTAATTGCTAAGTACGAAAGTGGAGTGCGTGTCTCTGAGCTGGCCAGGTTGTATACCAAACCCCAATCAACCATCGCCACTATCTTGGCCAACAAAACAGCAGCCAAGGAAGCTGTTCTCGCAAAAGGTGCAAATTTGTTTTTGAAACTGAGATCGCAAGTGATAGAAGATGTTGAGAGACTGTTATTGGTGTGGATAAATGAAAAACAGATAGCAGGAGATAGCATATCTCAAGCGATCATACGTGAAAAGGCTAGGAAGTTGCATGACGATTTAATTAGAAAAATGCTTGCAACTAGTGGTGATATGAGTGAATTTAAGGCCAGCAAAGGTTATTTGAGAAATTTAAGAATTGTAGTAGCATACACAGTGTGATAAGGTATGGTGAGGCTGCCAGTTCGGACCAAAAAGTGGCTGAAAAATATGTGAAGGAATTCAAGGAGTACATAGACAGTGAAAAATTGAAACCTGAACAAGTGTTTAATTATGGCAAAACAGGCCTGTTTTGGAAGAAAATGCCAAGCAGGACCTACATTACTCAAGAGACAAAGGCATTCCCAGGACATAAGCCTACGAAAAACAGGCTTACTCTTTTGACGTGTGCTAATGCTAGTGGTGATTGCAAAGTTAAGCCTTTATTGGTGTATCACTCTGAAACTCCCAGAGCATTCAGGCAAAACAATGTCCTCAAGGCTAATTTGTGTGTGCTGTGGAGGGAAAACATTGACACAGCTACTGCAAGCCGTGTTGGCAACCTGTACAATGACAATGTTATGGCCCATTTTAGACAAATCGTAAAGGAACAGGAGGTACAGAGCTCTATGGACAGATTTGTTGTGCGACAGAGGTTCAATGACTCTCAAGCTGGTCCTAGTGGCATTAAAAGAAGAAGGGAAGGAACCCCAGAAAAGGACTTGCTACCTCAAGTCCTAATGGAAGGAGATTTCCCATCTAAACAATAACTTCCACATTCTCCCCTCCTCCCATCCCATCAATCATCACCAGATCTTCAATAAAGGTAAGTGTCATGTATTCTATTCTTAGTAGAGTAGTAATTGTGCATGTCTTCTTCAGTTTGTGTGTATTAAAATTAATATTTCATGGGGTAAAAATTTTTTTTTTCCATACTTTGGGGTGTCAGGAACGGATTAATTTGATTTCCATTATTTTTTATGGGGAAATTAATTCAGCTAACGATAATTTTGGCTTACGAATGGAATGGATTAATATCATAAGGCAAGGGTCCACTGTATTCATAAAAGATGACTACAATGCTGTGAGCAAGAGATTAACCCTTTCAGGGTTTTCAACGTACTAGTACAGCTTACACACCAGGGTTATTGACATACTAGTAGGCCTAAATTCTAGCGTCTTCAAATCTAGCGAGAGAAAGCTGGTAGGCCTACATATGAAAGAATGGGTCTATGTGGTCAGTGTGCGCAGTCTAAAAAAATCCTGCAGCACACAGTGCGTAACGAGAAAAAAAAAAACTTTGACAGTGTTTTTGGATTCAAACAGCGACTTTGCACTGTATTTTTGTATGGTAATTATAGTTGTATTCTAGTTTTCCTGGTCTCATCTTATAGAATGGAAGGCATTTTACAGAAATTAAGATGATTTTGACTGGTTTCATAATGAAAAGTACCTTGAAATTGACCTCAAAGTAGCAGAAATGTTCGATTTTTACCAACGTTCAAAAGTAAACAAATCATGCCAAGCATCCAATACACGTCAACTGGTGAGTCTAATATTCTTTCACAAGTGCGCTGGTATTATTTATATCATTTCTACACTAATGCAGTAGTCTGCATAACAGTAAATCTTCTATTTTTTGTAAGAATAAAAATTCAAAGTGGAAAGTAAAAGAAATACAATAGGGGCCTTGGGATGTGACTAAAGAACAGAGAACTTGTTATTTTAGTGCCAGGAATGTCTTTCTTGTTTATTCTGTACCCTATTTGGAAATTGGCATCTTCTGATATTTGTGTGAAATTGGCAAAATTGCCAATTTCTAACCACTTCATTGGATAGTTGAAATTGGTAAATAGGTGGTTTCTTGTACTCATTTGATAGAAAAAATGGAGTTCTAGCAAAATA